TTATGAATTTAATCCATAATATCAGTAGAAGTATTTAGTTCAAATGAACCCGCAGCTTTATGAAATCAACAATATCTATTTGCATTAATCAAAAAAAACTTTAGATAAAAATTACAATGGTATTTTATATACGTGGCGCATTAGATCTAATTCTCTTTGTTTTGATTTTAAGTCAATTAAAGGAGAATGTAGGAGCTCACAGTATGTACTGAAGTTGAAAAAATGCAAACTAAATCTAAACTGTGTTCAGCAGGGCCATGGCACGTGTAAACTAGAATCAACAGCATTTCTCACTGATGTCTTATAGGCTAGCTTTTGTGAAAGAAAATTGTTATAGTTCTTAAATATTTTCCCATTTATTCTGTACTTGTCTTTTTATTCCTTTCCTATCAAATACTTTCCCCTTTCCTCTTGAGGGAGATGATTTTCCCAAAATAAATGGGGGTAAGGTAAATATCTCCCCTGTACTCTTTTTTTTTAATTTTACCATTCATTTTGAGAGAGAAGAGAGAGACCACGAGCAGGGGAGGGACAGAGAGAAAGAGAGGAAAGAGAGAATCCCAAGTAGGCTCCACACTGTCAGTGCAGAGCCTGATGCAGGGCTCGAACTCAGGAACTGTGAGATCATGACCTGAGCCGAAACCAAGAGTTGGATGCTTAACTGATTGAGCCCCTCAGGCACCCCAGCCTCCCCTATACCTTTATTCTAGATGAATTCTTCCATCCCAATTTATTTTCATGGATAACTAGGATGTAATGAAAGTATTATTGTAGACATGGTTTTGTGCAACCATGCCCTCTGGTAGTGTTTTTAAAAACAATATAGAATGTATTATCTGAAACCATTTTAGATTAGTCTGCCAAAATAGACCAACTGACACTGCCAGGTCCTGTCCTGATTTATATTTCAGGAAGCAATGATCACTTAACATTATTAATCATCCCTCTCTCTGGATGTGTCGGGCATGTCTTTCAGGTGTATCAGTAAGAGGAGAGCAAGGTATTCCTGGTCCACCAGGCCCCGTTGGACCTCGAGGGCACCCAGGTCCATCTGGACCACCAGGAAAACCAGGATATGGAAGTCCGGGACCCCAAGGAGAGCCAGGATTACCGGGACCACCAGGACCATCCACTACTGGAAAGCCAGGTTCGCCAGGGCTCCCAGGAAAACCAGGGGAGAAAGGGCTACATGGAGCAAAAGGAGACATTGGACCACCTGGTTTACCAGGACCACGGGGCCCACCAGGGCTCCCTGGAAGCCCTGGCCCAGCTGGAATTACTATTCCAGGAAAACCCGGACAACAAGGACCCCCAGGAGCCCCAGGACCCAGAGGTTTTCCTGGAGAAAAGGGCACACCAGGGGCCCCTGGTGTGCATGGACAGAAAGGGGAAATAGGATATGGTCCTCCTGGACAGCCAGGTGAAAGGGGTCTTCCAGGGCCTCAGGGGCCTATGGGACCACCTGGCCCATCTGGAGTAGGAAAAAAGGGTGAAAATGGGTCTCCAGGGCAGCCAGGCATCAAAGGTGATCGGGGCTTTCCAGGAGAGACGGGATCAGCTGGCCCGCCAGGCCCCCAAGGTCCTCCTGGGGAACGAGGACCAGAAGGCACTGGAAAGCCAGGGGCCCCTGGAGCCCAAGGCCAGCCTGGGATTCCTGGGACAAAAGGTCAACCTGGGATTCCAGGGGTACCTGGGTCCCCCGGGGCTCCTGGCTTTGGGAAGCCAGGGTTACCAGGCCTGAAGGGACAAAGAGGGCCTATTGGCCTTCCAGGGAGACCAGGTGCCAAAGGGGAACAAGGCCCAGCAGGCCATCCAGGGGAATCGGGTCTGACTGGCCCCCCTGGAAACATGGGACCCCAAGGGCCAAAAGGCATCCCAGGTAACCAAGGGATTCAAGGCCCTAAAGGTGAGACGGGCCCAGTCGGGCCTGCAGGACACCCTGGAACTAAGGGAGAAAGGGGTTTCTCTGGGCTAGATGGAAAGCCAGGGTCCCCGGGAGAACCAGGCATCAGTGGTCCTAAGGGGAATGCAGGGCTCCCAGGCCCAAAAGGTGACCCTGGAGTTGGAGGACGTCCTGGTCTCCCAGGCCCTGCGGGCCCAGCAGGAGCTAAGGGAGCGCCTGGACATGATGGGGAGGCTGGTCCAAGAGGTGCCCCTGGAATACCAGGTACCAGAGGCCCCATCGGGGCACCAGGCATTCCAGGGTTCCCTGGATCTAAAGGGGATCCAGGAACTCCAGGTCCTCCTGGCCCGGCTGGCATAGCAATTAAGGGGCTCAATGGTCCCTCTGGGCCACCAGGGCCTCCAGGTCCACGAGGCCACACAGGACAGCCTGGCCTCCCCGGTCCCCCAGGCCCTCCAGGGCCCCCAGGCCAAGCAGCCCTGGCTGAGGGCTTTATAAAGGCAGGCCAAAGGCCTCTTGTCAGTGCCAACCAGGGAGTAACAGGGATGCCTGTGTCTGCTTTCACTGTTATTCTCTCCAAAGCTTACCCAGCTGTAGGTATTCCCATCCCATTTGATAAGATTCTGTATAACAAGCAACAGCATTATGACTCGAGAACTGGAATCTTTACCTGTAGAATACCAGGAACATACTATTTCTCCTACCATGTGCATGTGAAAGGGACCCACGTTTGGGTGGGCCTGTATAAGAACGGCACCCCTGTCATGTACACCTATGACGAATACACCAAAGGCTACCTGGATCAGGCTTCAGGGAGTGCCATACTCGATCTCACGGAAAATGACCAGGTGTGGCTCCAGCTGCCCAATGCTGGGTCAAATGGGCTGTACTCCTCTGAATATGTCCACTCCTCCTTCTCAGGGTTCTTGGTGGCACCAATGTGAGCATATTCCCACCGAGCTACCATACATCTGCTTGAAAAGGCATTTCCCAACTCCACCACGCCCCACAAAATGCATATGGAAGTAGGCCAAAACAAAAAAAAAGTGACTAATTTTAATTTTCCAAAATACAGATTTGATACTCTGGTTTCTCTTCAGATCGCATAAATCTTTCGCCTTTTCCAAAATACAGATTTGAGCTTTCAGACCAATAAACTATCCCCCTGAAAAAGTGAGCAGGAATGGTAAATGATATGTGAAGACTCTCTTGAATTTCTACTCAGCAGTCTTAAGACTCTTGAAAGTTTTCTGTCAACTCCTCCAATATTTAAAAATTTCACCATGAAAGTTCTACTAGGCTAAAAAAATAAAATGATCACAAAGAAACCCTGAAATGGGACACTAAATTACGTTTAATTTGATTACAGAAATTCAGCCTTTGTTTTTAAAAAGGAGCTTGTTTCTAACAATTAATAGAAGAGCTTCTAGGAAACAATCAGGAGGTATCATATCTTTACAGAACTCAAATACTTGAATATTCAAATTTCAAAGACACTGTATAGCCTGAGATCTTTCTGATGGTGCATTACCTGATGGCTTATGTGGCCCCTTCATCAAGATCTATTCAAATATACAGGTGCATATAGACTTCTTACTGCTCTAATAAAACCAAAAGATTATGTTAAAATAAACCTGAAATGCAAGGTGCTTTAGACATGAGCCTTTGCAAACTTTTCTGTGATTGCAGGAAAGCTTTCTATATACCCTTCACAACTTGGAAATAGGTGTCTAACCTATTTTATTTACTTAATACAAGTGTAATGGATTTAATTTTTCATTGAATTTTATATAATATGATACTGTGGGTTTACCAGACCCTTACTATATGTACCCTGAGCCTCCTATTCTAGGGGAACTATAACTAATATTATTACAAGCGTTTCAAAATCTGACTAGAAACGAAAAGATGTTATTTATTTTTGCTCTGTACTGTATTTTTATATTGCTGTTTAAAACTTTTAAGCTGTGCCTCACTTATTAAAGCATGAAATGTTTTACCTACTCCTTATTTACAATGCAATAAAATAACATCAATAGATTTTTATGTTGAATTTATTTGTCAGCAGAGTTCTGCTATTCTCAACCATGCTTTGAAGGCTTTTCATTTTACAAAGTTAATAAAAGTAAAACAGTGAAGTGGTGGGTGGGTGACTTTTACAGTTGTCATGGATACCGCCCTCTACTGGGGGTGGGCATTCCTACACCCTTCCAGCACTCACTGTGGACTGTGAAAAGGCATCCACAGGATCCCATGGGATCTACCAGCCAGGGTGAAGGGCAGGTGACTGGGCATAGAAAAGTGAGACAATTACTCCAAAGCAGTGATTTTCTTCAGGGAAGGACAAAGCAGGTGGCAGAGAAATATGTAATTTGAAAAAATATTCTACAGTTACTATCTGCTACCTTGACATGTTTTTAGTCATAATATTTAGGATTATTTTGATGGCTTAAATTACATTAAAAGGAAGGCAGGTAATTCTATGTCAATCAAAAGGCAACATTCTCTTAGCTGAGAAACACTGCTCTTGAGCATCTATCAGTCCACTGGTTGAATAAGGACAGTCTGGTTGGAGTCACTGAGGTAACATATGATAAAGGCAACTCTATTCTTTAGAAGTATCCTCTGTGTAAATCAAGCAGACCTGCAAATATAGCTGTGAAACCCTGGCTGCAGCTTGCGGAGGTCTCTGCCCCATTCTGAGTCAGTCAGTCCTGTCTTTAAGCATGAGAATGAAATTCTTACTTCTCCTACCGGTCTGTAACTATGACACCAATGGTTATAGGTGTGAGTAATCTGCATTCCCAAGGCGGGAAAGAGCAAAGCGTGAACTTCAATTCCAGGGAGCCCACAGAATGACCCTTTAGGCAGGCATGTAAGAGACAGCATAGTTCAAAATACTGGCAATTATGGCCAAGAAGCCGACATGAATAAGAGAACCTCTTAAAATGTAAACAGTACCAATTACATAGCAAAATTTAAGATGAAAGTAAATCCTAACTGAGACACATAACAAAATAGGTAATTTCTAAGTAATTCATAAGACACATAGCATATAGTTAACACCTATTAGAAAGTCTCTCTTCACATTACTCACCCTTAAAAGCTGACATTTTATAATTGTGTTGTATACCGGCAACTATATCCTTCCAAAAATCAAATGTTTTTTGACCATTGTTCTGCTAAAAAAAAAAGAAATTGCAAATGTTAACGTAGGTAATAATTCTGTCTTCAAGCACAGTAGAAAACACTTTCCAAACAATTACAATATTACTGTAATCTAAAATTGGGACTCATATTTTATGGGGCCCCTGGGTGGCTCGGTTGGTTGAGTGTCCAACTTCAGCTCAGGTCATGATCTCATGGTCTGTGAGTTTGAGCCCTGCTTCGGGCTCTGTGCCGACAGCTCAGAGCCTGGAGCCTGTTTCAGATTCTGTGTCTCCCACTCTCTCTGCTACTCCCCTGTGTATACTCTGTCTCTCCCTCAAAAATAAAACATTAAAAAAATTTTTTAAATAAAAAATAAAATAAAATTGGATCTCATATTTTAGAAAAGGTAATAGATGTATAAATTCATTCTTCTGAATGGTTTAAAAAAGAAATCTTCCATGAAAATCACTTTTACAGATATATATATACACACACATAAGTAAATATTAATATAGCTCATAGAGCACAAATAAAATAGAAATTTCCACTTAATGTAAAGTCTAAAAATTATACATTTTAAACACATGAGTAAATTTATGGTGTTATAGCTTTTGAGATACCAGAATGTGCCACTTCATGTACTGTGGCATCAATGGGGCTAAGAAACCTCAAGTCCTAAAGTCCTAAAAGCTGGTAACTTTAGAATTCAGTGCACATTTACCTGATTCCAATATAAAAGAGCAGCAAGTCTCTACTGTAGAAATGAAGGGGGTTCAAAACCCAAAATGTACACCATTTTTACTTAGATGTTTTTAAGCCAGGAAGCAAATAAACATTACATTAAAACACATAACCCTACAAACCCCTTACTTCCTTGGAAACATTAACTGGTGTCCTTCTATCCAAACAAAGACAAACTACTAGGTATTTGTATCTAATTATATAAACTCTGAAATATTTGGGGACTGATACATTTGCTTGAAGTAATTATGAATAAAAAACTGACTCTAGCTCACGTAAATAACAACTTCTACCAACATACTAAAATTATTGCTCAATAGAAACTTTCCCAAAAACATGACTAATTCTGGTTCAAAAATAAACCATTACCCATGTTCTACTATCAACATGATCATTATGATTTTAAAAGACAACATATGCAAAAAGAAAGGTAATTTTGACATAAAACTGGTTTCTGTTCACAGATCTTAAGCTCTAAGTATAACCTCTTGTAACCAGACATCTATTCAATCTTCATAAATAGCAGAGTCTGCATGCATGCATCAAACTGCTCAAAATCATGAATTTAAAAACTTCATCTCATTTTATTTTATATTATTTAGAATGCTTAAAAACAGGTGGAATTTAATTAATTACTTTTTTAAATTCTGCTAATGAAACCAAGAAAATATTTTTCCATCTGTGAGGTCTGTTTTCTTTTTAGACTTTTGCACCCCCTGCTGGAGAGTAGGTTTATTATCCTTGGGAAAAAAACAGTCACTGCTAACTTCATTTTCTCCAAACATCTGACCAAATTTTCTATGTTTTTTTTCCTTAATCGCTTCTAAAACTACAGAGAGGAAACTGAGTAAAATCTCAACTCAGAAGACATATATAGTTAAGTCCTCTGACTTATGACTAAATACAAACCATAATTTCTAAAAAATGAGTCTCTGCTCACCTTTGTTAAAGAGTCCACCACTCTGGCACATAGAAGGGCTCCTGGCAGGTCAAAGTAGTTATCATAAAAATAATATTTTCCTAAAACAGAACAAAATTTTAAGCTGGGAATAAATTAATGCCTCATTTATGTGACACACAGAAACCTGGCTTAAGAGACACTAGATTTTGGTTTGGTCATTTAAAGGGACCTCTTTTCTATTCAGAATGACTCCATTACAGGCTACCATTGTTTTCTTTATTTTTGAGAGAGCGAGAGCGAGAGAGCACGCACACACAAGTGTGTTAGCACAGGCAAGCGAGGAAGGGACAGAGAGAGAGGGAAAGAGAGAATCCCAAACAGGCTCCACACTGTCAGCATCGAGCCCAGTGCAGGCTTGATGTCATGACCTGAACTGTGAGATCAGGACCTGAGCCAAAATCAAAAGCTGGATGCTTAAGCCACCCAAGGAGCCCCTATATTGTCTTTTGAAGAAGGTTTTAAGCTACAAGAAGGTTAAAATATTATATCTATAATTTAAGAATTTCATGAAAAAAATGTTTTTATGTAAAAACTAAAAATAGATTTACCCCAAATATAAAATGGATTATGAAAAAGCCACAATTTATGGTAGCACTGTCACTGAATTTCAAAACAAGAAGCCTAACACTGGAGTATCATGAAGTAATCCACACACTAGTGCCTTTCCATATCTGTGCTGGCTGGTCTACTGTCAGTGCAGTGTGAGAACAACCTGGGCACTGAGAGGAATAAAAAAAAGTTCCATCATGTCAGGGTATAGTACACTAATCATGGAAAAACTCAGGAGCCCAGAACAGGCAATCCAGGATCTCAGAGAAGAGAAGGATTTAATTCATCCTGTTTGGCCCTAGGACAGAATCAAACCTGAGCCCTTCCTCAATACAGATGTCACTTGCAAATCTGCCATCCCTGGGAAGATACCTGATGACCCGTCACATCCCTTTGGCTCATGTCTGATCCCAGCCATGGCAGTGCTAAATGTCATCATCCCACCTAAGCACACCCGTGTCACCCACTTTCCCCAGAAGCCTGTGGAGTCCATGTGACGCACGTGGCAAGCCTCAACCAGGCGCCAGTGGGTAAGCCTCAAGTTTAGGAGACAGTGAAGACTTCTGTCCCTTGGATTGACAATGCTGGGAGGTTTTCTCAGTGCTTCTCAGAAGTCTCAGTGGAATCCAGCCCCCCTTGCTCCTTCCTTCCATCTTATCCTCTCCACCATCTCACTCCTGTTTACCGGGATCGAGACCAACCACTCTGCTCTGAGGGGGGTTGGGGGATCCCAGTGTCATAATCCTTGCACGAAGAGGAATCAAACAACCAAAGGTGAAGACAGATTTTAGTTTCACATAAGAAAGTACTTTTCAAATGGTTATAACTATTGCACGCAATATTATAAGTCCCTGATTTCGAGTCCTCCCTTTTTCCCATTTGTATGTATAAGGTTACAGAACACAGCTGTCTTGTTCCTTCGTGTCCACTCAGCGTACTGTAGGCCCTCAATATGTTTGCTGAATAAATGAATGAATGATTCATAATGGAATGCACTTCTGGAACGAAGGAGTGTCTCAGGTAAATTAATAGGAGAAAACCCCCTGCAGAGGGCAGCTATCTATCCCTTTAGCTGCCATTTAATGCCCTTCGCTTCCTCATATCAAATTATTAAGAACATATTTGAAATAAAGTCAAAGTTCTCCTTCTATTAATTCACCAAATATTTATTTATTTATTTATTTATTTTTAAATGTTTTATTTATTTCTAGGAGAGAGAGAGAGAGAGACAGCGTGAGCAGGGGAGGGTCAGAGAGAGAGGGAGTCACAGACTGAAACAGGCTCCAGGCTCTGAGCTGGCAGTCAGCACAGAGCCTGACGCGGGGCTCGAAACCACGAACCGCAAGATCATGACCTAAGCGAAAGTTGGACGCTTAACCAACTAAGCCACCCAGGTGCCCCTTAATTCACCAAATAGCTGTGTGGGTTTGTGTATCCTTTCCCTCAGTAAAAAATAGTATGGTTTTTACTCTTTTGCAGCTGAAATTATTGACAGAATATCAGACTATTTTTCATTCCTAAGAAAGGTTAGAATGGCTTTCTCAGTGTGAGGAACCAGGAGTCTGAAGGAAGAGGGACATAATACCCCATGTACATTTCTGCTCACGCTCTGCTGTGCTGTAAGGCCACATAATACTCAGGGTTCCCAAGACCTAGGAGAGTGGGCACAGCCTTCCAAGGTACATTAACCTGCACTTTATTTATTCTCTTGGCCTATGACACCAGAGTGGCCAGCTGCTCCGGGCACTGCAGGAGCGGAAGGTGTCTTCATTGCCAGGTATGTATGTGCCCCTGCTTTCCCCTCCCCTTTCACTCCCTTCATGGCCATTAATAGATGAAGTTCAGTTAAAGAACTGAAATACTGATCATGGGTCTTGGTTGGGGTCTAATCAAATAACTCAGGGGTTTAATGAAACTCCCCCCACAAGGTGCTGACTCACTCGACTGTCTGAGTGCAGCCTGGCTCAGTTCATAGGTCAAGACTGAACCAGCCTTGGGGTGTCCACAGAGTGGTCATCCAGCCCAGCCTGGAAGACTGAGAAATGTATTATGCCTAGGTGCTAGTCTTTTCACTCCAGAACAAGCACAAGTAAAAGGAGAATCAATAAAACCCGAAATGAAGCAGAACCAACTCCCAAAGAGATATGAGACACATGCAAAACATCGTATTCCTATCACACCACGGCTGCCCCCTTGTGACATCCTGGCTGACCGGAGGTGAGAATGGCACGCTTCATGCTCTCTTGCCCCAGGCTCAGCGTCCAAAACAAAAGGGGAGGTGATGGTGGCGCTGCCCGCCACGAGCCATACCTGATCGGCAGGCCATTCCCGTGTCAGACATGAAGTGTTTCCACTCCTTGCTGCCGTACTCCTCTGCCACCACCTCTGGAGCCATCATCTTTGTGCCATGGCTTGCCCTAGTTTTGGGAGACGGTAATGGCAGACAGACAAACACAACAATGAAAAAGGAAACCGAAACTATACAATGCTTTACATTCTTTTTAACTATGATTGAAGACAGCTAAGTACACTGTAAGAATCGGATAGTTGAGTTTAAGGTCATGGTCAAAGCTGCACTGAGTATGTATACATACAAACCACAATCCGCTCTAGTTGCCCGAGGCAGGAAACATGCAAATGAATAACAAAATTATCAGAAGTAGGGCCACACCTGTTGTAGTTATTTGCAACTTAGGGTGAAGTCTAGGGAAGAGTATGAGTTCGTACTGTGTAATAAGAATGATGTATTAAAAGGGAGAGTATGTGCCAGGGGTAACCTGTGCTGCGTGTCCTTTCCTTCAACTCTGATCACGTCAATATAAATGATAAATCGCACAGGTCTGTAACCATGGTGGCTTGCCTCTACTGTGGGTGCTGGGGGAAAAGCAGATGCCCACACCCTGGCACCCCAGTAAGGCTCAGAGCAGTGGCTGCGGCAGCTTCTCATCTGCTTGTCCCACTCCCCCCAACTCTCCAAGTGCTCAGTGCACCCTGAGAGGAGGGAAGGAAAGGGAATCAGTACGGAGTGTGAGAGAGACTGATGAGGGTTGGAGTAGGCTAGAAAAATTTCCAGAAGGAGCTAGAATATAACAGGAGTTCTGCATGAGGGGGACGAATTTCGATAAATGGTTTAGATAAATGGAAGAAGAAGGAGAGGTATGCATAGATCACCAACCCCTGCCCAACATTCATTCTCTTCTTAATAAAAAGAAATCCAACTTTATTCCAGGCAACTGCGTACTCATCTAACACAACATAATCCCCAGGCTCTTTTGCAGTAGAGGTGGTCAATGAGATGAAAACAACTTATTAAAATTCTATTGCGTTTCCTGCAAGTATTTCTGGTGAGATTAATTTAAAAGAACTAGACCTTTAAGTCTGATGCTTCTAGATCTGCATTTAAATAGTTCAAATAATTCATACAAAGAAACAGAGGCACAGGATTTGTCATCTGATTGATAAAAATAATTATTTTATTTTACCTGTACTTAACAATCAAATGTTATACAGTAAGTAATAAAGTGTCCCGGAGAAAGAGTTTTGATTTCACAACTAAATTTTATTACCTGAGCACAGTGCCATTATCTGCCAGTTTAATGAAGTTCCCATCTTCCAGATCTAGTGCCAATCCCTTGCAACTAAAACAGAAAAATGTGTTTACTGATCAATGAATAGATTTGGCCAATCCCCAAAATTAATAATCTGTATTTCCAAAAAGTCACAGTGCTAAAAAGGGATTCTCCCATGCAGGTGAATGATATGTTAGTCAAAAAAACCAAGAATATCCAAGAATTCTAAAATTAAATAGCACCCACAGAGCAAGTATGTAAAGAAAACTGTCATGTGGGAAAATGAAGACAGCACATTTAGTTTGTAAAATCCTTGAGCTTTAAAAAAAGAGGAATTCAAAAATTAAAGAGGACAAAAAAAGGAGCATTATTTCATGTCTCTGTTAAAATGTGCAGGTGTTTTTCATTAAATAAAACACATACACATGCACGTACACATTTATATTCTGCTAGATAAGCTCTTAGCTAGAGTCTCTCTGATATTCTTTAGAAATTGTTTCGATTTAGGTCAGGTTATAAAAACTTGCCCTCTGGGCAGGGCATACTATTGAAAACCACTAAAAGAAAGTCAAATACTAAGTTTCAGGTTCCTCGCTGCAAAAGACTTGTGGGATTTGGGAAGAGAGGTAGGTACAGATTCATTTTATGAATAATATAGCAAGGAACTATAATGGCCACCAAATACCAAGAGAATTAAACGAAAATGACAGGGTACTTTAGAAGCATTATTGACTTTGTCCACAGTAAAATTTCTGTAGTCAGAGGTTTTATACAGTGAAATATTTGTTTCTTCTTTTTACAAAAGGGATACATCAAAAAGGAATAACCAAACACTGCAGAAATATATAATAGATGAACATCATTGCTCTAGAATTACTTTTGCATGTGTTTTTCATGTGTTTTAGAATTATTTTTAATTTTCAACCAAGCAATTTTAAAGTCTTAGATTTTTACTTTGTTGTTTAGAGGAGGAAGAGAGACAATAAGCCTTGGCAAGTGGAGAACCCTAAGAGTAAGCAGTAAGAGTCTTGGACGTAGGAATGTCTATCCAAATTACAGAAAACCAGTTTAGACACTTATTCAAAACACAATTCTCCCTCTTCTACAGTTCTGCATATGAAGGGAAATAAAGCAAACTTTTTTTAAGATGTAAATTTTAGAGCTAGTTCTTAATAACCTCTGAAACTCACGACAAACTTAAGCCATACAATAACATCCAAATTAGTCAAGAAGCTTTTGGCTTATTTACATATTTAATTAAACAACTCTAAATTTAAAGCAGAAAAAGTTTTAATTCATGAAACATAAAACTTTTAATAGAGAAAGCATTTTGTCCTTTGACTCAGTTTCACATTTCACTTTCTCTCTCCAGAGAAGAAGCATTAAAATTTTATCACCAACATTTAAGAAACAGAAGGAATGGGCAGACCTTAAAAAAAGAACTTACCAGAAATCCCAGTCCTCTGGAGTCACAGTTAGTAATTCCTTGTCATACCCTTTCTCCTTGACCAGGAACTGAGCAAAGCTATTATAAATGAGCTATAAATAAGGGGAAGGAATAAAGGAGGATTAAATATAAAATTCACTATTCATTCTGCATGTCACAGACCTGAAAACCCACTGGAGTCATTCAGGGGGCAGATGGGAGAGAAATATCTCTTAATTGTGAAGTTCGGCAGTTTAAGCCCCTTATACAAGCAATTTATCCACCTATGAGAGCCCCAGGTGGCTGTTGTGTCTTTTTATCCTGCAGAATTATACCCTCAGTATACAATTACATAACCAAGGGCTATTATCATCTTACTCCTGAATTCTAATGGGTTGGAGATCATTAAGACTTGAAAGCTTTGTAAACTCATTTAACACATCACCAAGACGATAAACATACAGACCACTCTACCATTACATCTATCCTCAGCCTATCCTTAGTGGAAAGTGCTTATGAGGCACTGGCCCCCAATTCATAGATGACTTCCCTTGAATAAAGGACATCAAAATTGTCACTAAACTGTTTTAGTTTCGTCACTGACACAGGGGAGTTTCAGAGGGAAATACACATGGAGATCAGGCAGTTGATAAAGGAGGAATCAAGGGGCTTCCATCAGATACAGGAAATATCTCTTATTTCTTTGCTGAAGGAAACTGAAGGAAAGGACCTAGAAAGCTTCAAGAAACAAGGAGAAAGATACATGCTCTGCTGATGGTTGACAAATCTTCCGAGTTCTCAACAACAAAATCCCAAGAGTTTGAGTCATGTGTCTTACTTTTTTCTAAAGAGTTGGCTAGATTTTTAAAGAACTGTGTATACCAACCAAAGAGTAGGCAAAAGGTGGATGAAGGTCCACAGTGGCCCCACCGGATTCTCCTTCAAAGAGGGTTCTTAGACCAGCATCACATGCCCAGAATGGTGGTCTGAGGTCAGACTGAACAGTGTCCAAGAAGATTCTTGAGCAAATCTACCCTTCTCCCATATGTTAACCCACGACAGCCTTTGACAGCAGGAGACGGCACAAGTGGGAAGGGGGCAGAGATGCAGTGAAAGGAATGGGAGAAGGCCTCCCTGAGGTGCTGATGTTTCCACTGACCCCCGCAAGATGTAGCAGTTAGCTGGGTGAATCCAGAGGGAGGGGAGCACACCCAGCCCAGCAACCCAAAGACCCACACACGCCTGGGTTTGGGGGTTGGGTGTGAGCATCAGGAGATGAGTGCAGAGAAATCAAAAGCTCCCTGTCCAACAGAGCTGTTCTCTGTCCTAAAGCTAATTAAAATCACTATACATGTACTTCCATGCAATGCAATATGACTCTGATCCAGGTCAGTTGTTAACAGGCTCACATCATATCAACTCGTCTCAACCCTGGCAGTGATTCAGAACCAGTGATGGCTCTTAAAACCACCCAGAAATTTCAGGCCTCCAGGATAGGGTGATTGCAGGTGAGGCCATACAGAATTACTGAAGTCCAGAGATGACTGAAAATCATTGGCTTTACATGTTATATGGATTTTCATTGACTCATTAAAAAAATCAATCAAAAATGTACTGAGTCACTCTGAGGTACAAAATACTATGGATAATAAAAAATACACATCATGATCCTGACTGCAGGGAACCAGTGCTGTGCTATGGAATTAACAGATGTAAGTGCTTTAGAGCAGTGCCTGGCATACAATAATTTCAACTGAAATATTTGCTATTATCAGTCATATGCTGGTTAAAAAAAAAGTCTTGATAAGTACCGTTTGCCCATTTCCCCATATCAATATTGCCACCACAGCCAGTTCCAAGCTACCAATGTTTACTGCATACCATTAAACCTGCCGCTTCTGGTCAAGGCACTTTACTCAGTCTTGGACAAATGGAGTTTCTCACCCCTTGGCGATACCAATAAAGATATGGGCATATGATTCCACTGAGATTGGACACCCTCCTGAGAGAAAGGAGCCCTTTCTAGCAGGGCTGCCATCAGGGGCATCCACAGCTGTGTTCCTTACCTCGCGGAGAAGTTTCTGTAATAGGAGAGAATGGGGGCAATGTGTAGGGAGAACCAGAGAATAGCGCTGAGGAAAATAAGGGAGTCTGTGTCTCTGAAACCTGTCCTAGTCCCAAGGCCTGAGCTCTTGGATCTTTTTCTTATATTATGTTGAGTCACCCCAGAAGCCTTCAGGGAACTCCATGACTAGCCCCCTTCCTCTCCCAGAGTCGCACGTACCTAATAATGCACACTGAATAGCAGCTGCAAATTGGTGCCCTGTAGGTTGCCCTGAGACCACACATTATGTTTGGGTCCCACTTAAGGTTGCCAGATAAAAAAAAGAAGCACCTAGCTAAATGTGATTTTCAGATAAACAATGAATTTTTTTTAGTATAAGCACCTGCCATGCAGAGCACACATATAAGAAAAAATTGTTTTGTTATTTGAAATTCAAATTTAACTGGTGCTCTATTTTTCTTTCCTAAATGTGGCAACCCCATAATCCTGATGTGTTTGAAAACGAACATTTAAAAATTGAGAGACTTCTCATACAAGTTCAGATTTCTAACTGGTCTTAAAAAGAATTAGTTCTTTTAATAGACTCAGCACTGGGATGCTTGGGTGGCTCAGTCGGTTAAATGTCTGACTTCTGCTCAGGTCATGATCTCACGGTCCATGAGTTCTAGCCGAGTGTAGGGCTCTGTGCTGACTGGTCAGAGCCTGGGGCCTGCTTCAGATTCTGTGTCTCCCTCTCTCTTTCCCCTTCCCTTGCTCACGCTCTCTGTCTCCCTGTTTCTCAAAAGTAAGTAAACGTTTAAAAAAATAAAAATAATAAAAAATTTAAAAAAGAGCCTCAGCTCTTATTTCCTCACAGCAGACGCTGGCAAGAGTCAAGTGTGGCTGTGCCTTCAGAAGGCAAACACACTGTCCTGGCTGTACCAGGCCCCACTCCCACTCCCAAGTGGGGGTTAGCTGCCTGGCCCCTTACCCTTCTGAGTCTGCAACACCAGGAGAGCACAGGGGTCGTCATTAGTACAGTGCCCTTCCTGAGCCCCCAAGTGAGGTGACGCATCCAGTTCCATGTTTGCACAATTTTGCACTTAATAAATGCCTATGCTACTGATGGGAGAGGCACTCACAGTGTTCTATGACGCCTTCACCGCTGACTTCTCCAACATTTTCTGCAACTCCTCACCTGCCCATGACACCCAGCATTGCTGGGTGTCACCCAGCATTCCTGAATTGTTTCTCACCTCTGGGACCTTGCCCTGGCTCAATTCCCTCTGTCTGAAGTGCCCCCTCTCTGCCTCCTCACCTGCCAGTTTTAACTCCAGTGCCAGAACCCAGCTCAAGCATCAGTCACTCCAGACCTCTCCTCTGGGCTTTCTGGCTCACATAAAGCATGGTGGTGGGTACAGAAGCCCATGTGCAGGGTGACTCTGGATAAGCTACTCATTCTTTTTGTGCCTAGCCTTCATCTCTCAACAGTGACTGTGACAAAGTAAATACCTTGGACACCTCGGACAAATACTTCTTGTTCTTATAAGGATCTAAACAGTTCATTTAAACTGAATGCTCATGAGAAGACCAGCTGTGCCATATTCATTTGTGAAAATACTTATTTTTTATTCAGTTATTCCACCACGAATTACTGAAGTCCTTAGATGCCAAGCACCCAGCTCGGCACACAAGAAACTATCAGAGATACTGATGTCAAGAATCATGGGTCTAGATTCCAGGGGAAGATTCTGACAGGTTCACAGGAAATTTTAAGCTGTGCGTAAGTGCTGTGAGAAATTAAGGGTTTTGTGGAAGACTGGCACATGGGTTGGTGTCGTGGAAGGAGGGCCTTTAGGCACCAGTGGCAGGAAGTTTGCAGCAAGGTGCAATATTGCCCTCACCACATGGGCCTGAACCAAATTCTTCCCAATGCTCAACCATTACAATGCCACTTGCAGGCCTGAGTCTATCTCAGCATCCAACTGTTATGGGGCTCAGCACACTGCTGGTATTTCATAAAAGATTCCCGAACCAAACAGGATCCATACCACACTGCTAGGATACTTTCAATCTTTACGCCTCACTTCTATTCGAGGTTTGTAGAAAAGAATTCTTTTACTGGCGGGCCTTGCGTTCTGAGATTTTAGGCTCAGACACGCACAAAACAGGTTCTAAAAGGACAGTGGTTTAACTTTCTTCGAATGAATCTTTGACTAAAAAACGTTTGTGAATTTTTTACAAGTAGTTTCCTTATGAAACCAAAGTAATGAGGAAGGGCAATTCCCCTTCGGGTGCGGTATCATAATTACTCCACTCCCCCTTTTTCCCAAAGTTCTTGGAGGATGCAAACTTAGTAGACTGTTGCTAGGATTAGAACTTACTCAAAGAGCATGGAGCACGTACGAAGTGCGCAATAAATGTTTATTTTCGTCTCTTAGCATAAGACAAAATTTGGGCTAAGATTCTAATGACTTTTCGGTCAGTTTCTTCCAAAACACCACACAATCTCTCCCTGCCGCAGTGTTTAAAAACTGACAGGTGGTCGCGTGGACACCCAAGAGGAAAAATGCACACAAGGAAAATAGAACCCAGGTGGCTGTATCGGAGCGGGGCGGGTGCCCAGAATGACTTGCAAGGAAGTTCCAAGGCCAGGGATCTGCAAAAGACGTCCCCAGTTCCCCTGGCCCCGCCCCGCCTTCCATCCCAGGAGCCGCTTCCCCATCCCAATTTTGCAGATTGCCCCTCGGCCCCTTCCCTGCCCCACCGCTCTCTCAAAGTTGGCTAAAGCTGAGCTCCGTAAGCCGGTGCCGACGGCTCGGGCGGGGCCCGGGAATGCACATTTCCGCCCAGCCTCGCGGTGGGAGGCCGAGTTCTGCGCAGAGGCGCGGCGGCTGCAGGGCCGCCGGCAGCGGTCGCCGCCGGAGCCGGCAGGAAACTCCAGCCCCGGCCGCCAGGGAGGTGCAAGCCGTGCGCCCTGGGCAGCCTGCGCCACTCACCACGGCGCTCTCGGGCAGGTTGTAGCGACACAGAGTGTGGTCCAGGTCGAAGCCGACCACGTCGCAGGCGGCCAGGGAGAAGTGCTGAGCCATGGCTGGGCTGGAAGCACCCGCGAGCGCCTCGGGTGCCGGGAAGGTGCGAGGAGCCCGCGGGCGAGACGCTGCGGGACGGGACCGGACGGGACCCGGCGGGGGTGGGGCGCGGCGCGGCGCGGCGGGGCGGGGCTGCGGCCAGCCTCTAGACGCCGAGCGTCGGCCTCCGGCGCTTCCCGCGCCCGCCAGCGCCGCCCCGGGCCACGTTTCTCCCCGCCCCTCGCGCGGCCCGCAGGCCAGCGCTGTCCTCGCCACCTCGGCGCCCAGCGTCCAGCAGACGGCGGCCGGCCGGCTCCCGGCGCCGCACCGCCGTTCCCCCCACTGACCCGCGTTCCCAAAGGCCGGTGTGACTGGGGGTCGCGTCAACACTGCTGGACCTGGGGGTGCAGCTGAGTCGCTGTTGGCACGTAGCCCATGCCACAAAATTAACCGGGGCTCCCCTTCGTTTGCAAGGTGCCACAGAAACCAGAACACTGGTTCTGTGGCACCCGACCCTTTGCACTTGTGCGCAATAAGGTAAGATTGGGGAGAAGACTCTACCCCCTAATATCCTCTGACACATTTAGCCTAGAATTTGGAAGATCTTTTTGCCCATGACCTCTCTACTAAGTAGTCAAATAGTTTCTTCACTATTTCACCTTTTGGAGTGAGTTAGAAAATAGATTTTTAGGAAAGAGAAGGACCGCTTTTGCAAAAATGACCATGATTAAGTAAACCGATGTTGGCTATTTTGTTATTTGGTTATTCTATTTTTTTATTGTAATAAAGTTTTCAATGAAAGGACATCAAAAAGTTGATAGAACATGCTTCAGGATACAGAATTTTCTGAAAACAGTTGGCTTTCAGAGTTATAGAGCACAAAGTGATTCAAGTGACAATTATCTGAATTTTCTCAAGGACTTTGTATAGCTAGTATCATTTTAAATGTACAGGAGAAAAGTTAATTCATTACATACAATGGATCTTTAAGGCATTTAATTTTGAGAACCCATATGAAAGGCTAGGACTTTGAAATCTTTAAAATTATTTAAAAGAGAAAATATAAATGTCATAAAAAAAGAAAATGCAAGTCTATTATTTTTGTACTACTTCTGTGTTAAATGTAAAGGCAAGCTGTCCAATGGAAAAAAAATCAATAGTTATGACATAATGAAAATATAATTGATTGAGAATTACATTTAACCCTTACTAATACTAACCCTTATGAGGCTAGTAGACCCATCAAGGGATTAATTTAGTGCAATAAATAGTTCGATTTGGTAGGACACTTATTATACCTAGTGGACCCATTTGAATAAATTGAATACTTGTTCCATTATTATAACTCTTAAAAGCCCCAAACAAATCTCTCTGGAATAGGAAAAGTAAAGAATCCTCAAGAAGATGGAGCTGTTCTCTGATAAGACCTCAAGAACCATGTTTTTTGTATCTGTGACTCAAAAGAGAAAAAGCTGGATTGATTTACAGCTTGTACTTATTTCCCTCTTATGACTCTGTTGTCCATGGAGCATTGACTTCAGCATTCCTTTTTGCCCCCTGCCAAATGCCTGCCAAGGTCAACCTTAAGGACACATCGAAGGCCACAAGTTTCCTTGAAGGTTATCTTGTTTTAATGTAGGATAGGGAATTCCCTGAGTAATGTGAATGTACAAGTGCATTCATTGCCAGAGGAAGAGTAGGGAAGGATTGTTTTTCATGACGTAAGTGGTTCTGGGACTGGAGTTGGCCCTTAAACCTGGACCTATCTACTTGCTGTTGCATTTCTTACATTCCTCCTGTCTATTCAAAGAGCTCTCTGCTAGAGTCTATGACATTTACATATTGTGGAGAATTCAGCAAACAGTGCACTCCAATCATCCTGAGAGATCTTACTCCTCCTTGAGCCCTGTGCACCATTCCTGGCCTCTTCATCAAACCTCAGTCAGCCTCTTTTAAGGACATGTGAGATGATTCCCCTGAACTTATCACATATACAGATAAAATACCACAGCTGTTCTATTATTAACCGAGAGTTCAGTGTTCTACTTAAACCAATTAATTTCTGTTTCTTTGAGTGATATATTAAATATGTCAGCGTTATGGACTGAATTGTGTCCTCCCCCACTCCCAACAAATTCATATGTTGAGGCCTTCGGCCTCAGCATGATTGTATTTGGAGATAGGGACTTTAAGTATGGTTAAATGAGGTTGTAAGAGTAGGGCCCTAATTTAATAGGATGATATCATTATAAAAAGAGGAAGGGATACCAGATATGTGCATGTAAAGAGGGAAGGCCCTGTGAGGACATAAGGAGAAGATTCAGTCTGCAAGCAAAAAAGAAGGGTTTCATCAGAAATCAACCCAACTGGCACTTTGATCTGGGACTTCCAGCCTTTGAAACTGTTTAAGCCACTAAGTCTGTGGCATAATGTGAAGGCTGTCTCAACAGACTACTACAGTCAATAGGGAGATGTGACCCTAATCAATGTAATGTCAAATGCCAAAAACATTTGCATTTGAAAGATCCTTAAATGACATGAACTTATGCTTAAGTTCTTAGGTTATTTGTTGGTTTTCAGAATTTTGGTACTTTTGTTTGTGTATAATGTTAATATTTTGCTGTGAAGTTTGAGGATTTTTTTAGTAGTCTGTGTACTGAGTTTTTTCTTATAACTAGAAAGTTATGAAACAATCCAGAAATACTCAAATAAGAAATTACATTTGTTGCTGATTTCCTAAAATTGAATTTCATTGTTATCACTGACCTGTATTTTAATAAAGTTAATGCTATAATTTACCAACTTTAACCTAGGTATGCCTTTTACTTGTTATTTACCTAAAAATAACTTTGTGATGAGTTCACATGTTTCAGAATCTAAAATAACTTACTAAGTGATCTTTTGTGGATTTAAAATACTGCAATTTAATATCTACATTATAAATGTTATTTACCAAACTGTTATTTTGGGGAGTAGAAGGGAGACTTGTTTATTGTTTCATCAGTTTAAAATGTTTTTTCTAGGGGTCCCTGGGTGGCTCAGTCAGGTAAGCGTACAACTTCGGCTCAGGTCATGATCACACAGTTTGTGGGTTCGAGCCCCATGTTGGGCTCTGTGCTGACAGCTCAGAGCCTCTTGCCTGCTTTGGATTCTGTGCCTTCCTCTCTCTCTGCCCCTCTCCCGCTCATGCTCTGTTTCTGTCTTGAAAATAAATAAACATTAAAAAAAGTAATAAAATGGTTTTTCTAAATACCTCAAAGTAAACGTTGTAATGTTTAACTTTTTATGTAATCTAAACCAATCCACACATCTTCCCTGGATCATATAATTTGTTTAATGGGAAACAATGAAGTTTATTTAGTAATTTGAAAAAAAACCATAAAATGTAATACTGCCTAAAAGATAATCTCTGTAGCACTTAAATATTAGTCATTTAGTGAAACAGAACCAAAAGCTGGTTTGTAATACTGGGCTGTGGCCATAAGATGGCAGTAGTTCTGCGTTAGGAATATTTTTCATTTGATTGTTTTAGTAATCTTAAAATCCTTAAGGTTCTTAATTAAAAGAAAGTCATTTTCTTTCTTTTTTTTTTTTTTACAAATAGTTTATTGCCAAATTAGTTTCCACTAACACTCAGTGCTCATCCCCACAAGTGTCCTCCTCCATGCCCATCCCCCCCTCCCCCCCACATCCATCAGTCCTCATTTTTGTCAGCATTCAAGAGTCTCTCATGGTTTGCCTCTTTCCCTTCCCCCACCATTTCCCCCCTTCTTCTCCCCCTTGTTCCTCCGTCAAGTTCCTCCTAATCCTCCTATACGTGCAAACATATGATATTTGTCCTTCTCTGCCTGACTTATTTCACTCAGCATAACACCCTCAAGGTCCATCCATGTTGCTACACATGGCCAGATTTCATTGTTTCTCATTGCCATGTAGTAGTCCATGGTATAGATAAACCACATCTTCTTGATCCATTCATCTGTTGATGGACACTTAGGCTCTTTCCATGTTTTAGCTATTGTGGAGAGTGCTGCTATGAACATTGGGGTACATGTGCTCCTATGCGTCAGCATTTCTGTATCCCTTGGGTAAATTCCTAGCAGTGCTATTGCTGGGTCATAGGGGAGTTCTATTGTTAGTTTCCTGAGGAACCTCCACACTGTTTTCCAGAGGGGCTGTACCAGTTTACATTCCCACCAACAGTGTAGGAGGGTGCCCGAAGAAAGTCATTTTCTACTCTCCCTTTCTGCTCTTGCCACAAGAAGAGATGCCTCCTTAGAAATTTTACTGTGTTTTTTGCGTGTGTGAGTGCGCATATATTTAATTTTTGCACGTGGGTATGTTATTTTTGATGGAGGGAGAGAATGGGATGGGATGAAGTCCTTTAGTGGGAAACTTCTCATTAAAGTTATATCTGAATAAATCAGTATATAAAGCATGGCATGAGCTCTTATTTTAGCTAAAATACTAACTGCCAAGAATGTAATTCAGAAAGATCCCTAATAATGTAGCAATGGGGTGAAATTTAATTAATTAGGACAAATATTGAGTTTTGGGGGTCGGGTTCAAATAATCTACTTTAACAGCATATTATGGAGAATCTTGATTTACCAGCAGGAAAGTTGGAAATAAAGTCTGGTTAAGGTCAAGGTGAACTCAGCTAGTTCCAGTTTAAACCCAGTTTCTCTTTGATGGATTGTCACTTCAATCTTCCCTTTTACTTCACTGTTTTTCTGGGAGGTTTGGAGGTTCTAACGTGCAGAAGGGCTAACATATTGCCAAGGAGTCTGAGAACAGACTTCTGGCCCTTGGCTAATAGCATCCATACAGCTGCTTCTCCATTCCTGTCAGTATTTGGTTACCTCTGGACACATTGGCCACACTGTCAGCAACCATTCTTGCTGCATAAACTCTGAAACACCCCTCATTAACAGTGTCGTCAGAAAACTGTTTAGTTTTGATCCAAGCCATGAGACCATTTCAGGCTTGCCATTCCACAGTCAGCCAGCCTCTGCCCCTCTCTGGAACAGTCCCAGGAAACCTTCACAGAAGACCTCTGGCTCTGGATCAGAGAAAAGGAAAGTATTTGTTATAGTGTGGGAAGGTCGGGTAGCT